GTGAAGTTGTGAAAGGCATTAGAGTTCGCATGTAAGTAATGATGAGATGGTGACTAGAGTATATGTGGGGATATATGCAGATGTAGCTCCAGAACTACTCATGCTCTAATGCAGGGATCACAACCTGTAGCGCTCAAACTAATTTCATATAACTGTCAAGCTATCTAGGCTTCTCTGCAGCCAGTGACATCAAAAATTAACAAAATAATTGAGTCAGAGGGACAGAATACATTACCACCCACTTTAGCTTCACTCACTATATAGTTCCCAATGAATTACCCATCAACAGAATAAAGACTGTTCATGTGGAAGGAGATCTGCGTTTTCAAGATTGCATTCAAATATAGGCAGAAATTAATGGTAGATTGATAAAATAAAGAAAGCTCTGGTTAAGATTAGTTTCTGCAGCTGAATTGTTTGTTTTAAACAGATCTGACTCCCCACCTGTTCCAGCAGTTAAAAACAGATTACACCAACAAATAAAGACTTCTGATTTCCCAGTTCAAAATAGCAAAAATGGAAGCCAGAAGAGTATTTCTACAGATCAGCATCGGAGCGAAAGGCCTCTTCCAAGTGCTGAAGCTGAAAGGCCTCCTTCATCTCACTTTGTTCCTTATGTGCGAACAAATGAAGTGTATTACCTTGATCCAGATGCACCCTTGACTAGGCCCTCCACGCATGAACCACAATACCAGCAGCTGAATGGTACTGCAGTAGAGAGTTCGAGAAACGCTTGTGGTTAATGAATATTTTACCATTATCCTGCATTTAAAGTTTTTAATTTACCACTTGTTCTAAAGTGCTGTTTTAATTCAGGACTGAACAAAATGAAATATTAGTTTAACAGAAAACCATTAATCTTAAACCTATCAGCCTAAACATAAATATATTCTAATTGTAATCTGATGTTTTATGGAGAAAATCTATCCATGGGGTCGCTAAGAGTTAACCATACAGATCTCATGTTGTATCAATGAATGTAGAATACCACTTCTGTGAAACTGTATTTTTGAAATTTGCTAAAGGTAAACTAAACTCTTCAGAATGCTATATATGCATTGACTTCTCCCACACACATTTCAAATTAAGACAAATCATACTTCACTCTTGCACAGTATTAAAAATAACACAGATTGTTTACAGTACAATTAATTGTATCTATATTTACCTTTAGATGCTTGCCATAAACCACGGCAGGTGTTTAGCTCCGATCACATAAGGGATCCTCTTTTTAATCCTAACATGGTGAGAGACAGGCAGCAAGCCATCCTCAAAGGACTTTCAGAGTTGCGACAGGTACCATTACTTGACTTCACAGTACAGTATAGTTGTTTGATGTTAAATTTTCATGAAATCCACTGGTACTGCATTGTTTACTTGGGAATTTTTTCACTCTGATATCACATTCTGTTTGCAATCTGTTTCCATTCTGTAAAAAGAAAAAAATGTCTCATTAAATGGTTGTAAAATCTATATAGTCAAAAGAAAAACAGATATATTTCTTTCTCAATTCACCATAGGATAAGTGGGCTATTTAATTGTTACAGTGTTATTTACATGAGTGATGTACTTCTACATAATTCTCTTATACTGTATTTCTGCTTCTGATGATCTTTTCCAAAGCTTTTATAAAATAAACAATTTATGAAACATTTAGAGCCATGCAAATTGAGGGGAAAATTGCTTCAAACTACTGGACATAACAAAACTGTGTTCTGTTTTTTTTTATTTATAATTATGTTTCTACATCTTAGACTGGAGAAATGATTCATAGCTGAGAGGAAACTCTGAATTCTATACCATGGGGCCAGGTTACCTGAGGGACCGCCTCTCCCCAATCACATCTGCCCATCCCATGAGGTCTGGCAGAGAAGGCATGCTGCAGGTCCCGTCTGCCAGAGAATTACATTTGGTGGGTCCCAGGAGGCGGGCCTTCTCTGCCATGGTGCCCGCCTTGTGGAATCTTCTCCCCCTAGAAGTGAGTTTAGCTCCATCCCTCTTAACATTCCACAAGTCCCTCAAGACCTGGCTATGTGAGCAGGCCTGGGGTCCCAGGGGACCAGGGAGATTTTGCGATGGCTCCCTTATTAATGTTATCCCCTCCTGTTTTGTGTGCTGTTTTGTGTGCTTTTATAGTTTTTTATTTGTAATTGTTTTTATGTATTTATTGTTTTTAATTGTATACTGTTCAGAGTCACTTTGTGTGAGATGGGCGGCTATATAAATACAATAAATAAATAAATAAATACTAGGAGATAGTGATCATACAACCATAGACACTAAGTTTACAATTCTTGTAGGACTAATAGAGTTGAATATTTAAGAGTTGAAGCTCCATTTGTTGAAGAAAACACTTCTGTACTATATACTTATACAGTATGATTTTATATGATCCTAAAACTATATAGTCTCCTTGTCCAAAAAACTGGTAGAAATGTGTGGTACCAATAGAAGAGAATCTATGTCGCTCAGGGTTGAACTGTCCTTAGGGTTTTCTGAGCTTGGTTGCTTTCTTGCAGACATTTCATTACTTGACTAGGTAACATCTTCAGTGCTAGAAGGGAGTGGGGTTTGCTCTCTGTTTATTTACAGTAGCTTGCCCTGTCACTGTTGGCGTGGGTGTTGTTTTCTCCTTGGTAGTTCCTTGATTAGACTGTTGTTTACTACTTGATTGTTTGTCTGAGTTGGTAGTTCCTTGATTAAAGTATTGTTTATTGCTTGATTGTTTGTCTGGTGTTAATCCTGGTGTTAATCCCAGCTTATCTGGGTGTTAATTGTTGATGAGGAGGTGTTCTGGTCTTTTAGTTTCCTTTTTATTGTCTCCTTTGAGTGGTGTGCCTGTTGATCGCTGACTTGTCCGAATAACTGTTTTGCCAAAAGCAATGGTTCTTTTAAGGATCCAGAAGCAATAAGCACACAAGTGGTTTGAAGTTAAAGCGTCTTTATTGTAAAGCAAGCACAGTAGTAAGTAGAATATACAATACCAAGCAAGCTTTCCTCAATCAGTTGTCAGGAGCCCCAGTGGCCGGCGTGCAGCACCTTCCCGGCTAGGTCTGCATCAAAGCTCCACTTGAGCAGAACTTCGAGGCTTTTTATCCTAAATTTTAGAAGAATGCTACATGCCTCTAAGGGCAGCACCTTTATCAATCACACCTGTTGTTTTCAGGTTTCATGATGACTCAGGTTCTTCCCACCAGATAAGGTGAGGCAAGTGGACAGCAGCCAATTCCACTGTTTATGGTATTCTCCCACATTCCAAGGTCGTACCATCCCAAACAGCAACCAGCCTTGAAAAACACATTTTTCAGAGGACCTTAACTGGCCTTTAAAGAAGCTCAGTAGTTAACTTGGTCTGGGAGACTTGGGAATAGAAGGAACAATCGTGGCACGCCATCCTGAAGCTCCTCAATATACAATAGTCTTCTGATGATTTTTCTCTACAATAACAAGCTTCCAGGAATTCCCTCACATTTTCGGATTTAGCTTGGTCTAAGATGCTCACAGTTTCCCAGTTGAAACTATGGTTGAGTCTGGAATTCCCTCACATTTTCGGATTTAGCTTGGTCTAAGATGCTCACAGTTTCCCAGTTGAAACTATGGTTGAGTCTGGAATTCCCTCACATTTTCGGATTTAGCTTGGTCTAAGATGCTCACAGTTTCCCAGTTGAAACTATGGTTGAGTCTGTCCATATGCTGTGAGATTAAGGAGTTTTCGTATCTTCTGACTGCTACTTGGTGTTCATGGATGCGCTCTGCTTGTCTTCTGCCTGTCTGTCCTGCATAGTGGCTGTTATAGTCCTTACACTGTATGTGGTAGATGACTCCTGTTTTTTCTTCTTGGGCTACTGGGTCTTTTTGTTTACTTAAGATGTTCTGGAGGGCTTTAGTTGGTTTGTGTGATGCCACATGGTGATGCCATCTGGTTGTAATAGGAAACAGTGAATGGTCAGTGAATGAATGAATAGGTGCAGAATGTATATTGTTTAAATTAAAGTGAGTGACCAGTACAAAAGAAGTACATTGAAGTGATGCGGCCATTCAGGGAGAATGAATGA